GCCCCCGGTCTCCCCACCCTGTACATATTATTCCAGATGCATCACTCTTCATCTGTATCTCCCCAGAAACAACATCCACCTGATTTTTTTTAGAATCCAATCATTTTATCTTTTATTTTGTGTTTCTGTCTGTGTCCATCCTCACCTCGTTGACCATATATGGACTTCCTCTAAGATAAGGTTGACTTGGACTCACAGGCTTCATCTACCGTGTGTCTGTTCTCTGGAAACAAACTCTGATGATGATGATGATGATTCTCTGATGTTTCTCCGTCAGGGTTTGATTTTTAGAGATTATTTCCAGATGATCTTTGATCCTTTTAGCTGATTTATTTTTACATTTTAAAATGAATTACATTTGGTCATTAACAGCTCATTAACAGCTCAGGGGAGCTGAGGATCCTGATTGGATCATAAATAAATCATTAGTGAGGCTGAACTGGTTCTGGTTCTGGTTCTGGTTCTGGTTCTCAGGCCACAGTGACACGTGTTTTTTTTCCTTCATTTATTCTGTGGGTTGTTGCCTCCTTATCGTTTGTCAGGTTGAATTTCCTCAGCGCACGTGTCGAGGCGGAGTGGAGGAAAGTAAAAATGAAAGAGAAAGGATGTTGGTGGAGACACAGAGGACGCTTTGTAGCGCCCCCACATCTGCAGTCATTGAAGGCATTTCCGCCTCTTTAGAGACGCTCCACAAAGACCTGTCTGTTGGTCCAGTAGCAGCGAGTTTGCAGTTTTAACCTACACAGGGTCAGGCTTTGATTTGAGAGTAGGACGGACTGGGTTTATATAAGACAGAGACGAGGAGGGGACGAAGAACAGACCAGTGAGAATAAAGAAAATATATACAGAGAGTAGAGACGTAAACATACACTTTATTATATCACAATTTGACTTTTAAACCGATTGATCTCCAGACAAACTGTGACCAAATCCACTGACATGGTCTGTGAACCTCATCTACTGACATCGGAAAAAAATTCTGTCCAGAAACTCTGGACCATCTCCATTGATCTGCTCTGGTTAAACTGGTCAAACTGGTCTGGTCTGGTTGACCTGGTTAACTGTCCATACATGAAACAACAGGAAGTGGAGAGAGTTCCACTGGAGAACACTGTTGGTGTCTGTGGAACAAGTTCATCCCACGTTCTGTTCCAACACCTGAACGTCTCTCAGCCTACGTAGGACCTGACGTCTGGGTTTGATAGTGGGTTTTTAGGAGCATACTGCCACCTACTGCAGTGGAGTGGGTAGTGTCATGGTCTGACCAGTGACTCTTTGCGATGACGCAGTCTACTCCTTACACCGTGATGAGAGATTCAGGTTTTATTTCAACTGATTTGAAGTGTTACAGATTTGTATCAAGTTTTAACGAATTACGATGCATCGTTACGTCCCCAAAACAGAGTCAAACCAAAGAGGATGAAGGAAAATGGAGAGAGAGAGAGAGAGAGGGAGTCTGTATAACCTGATAACTGCAGCACGGGCTCAGGTTCAAGATGAGACTGCAGAATATGTGTGAGGGAAAACAAAAGCTGTCACAGTGTTAAAAAAGAAACAGGAACAGGAGTAAAATTAGAAGCAGAACCGTGTGCAGTGAAGAAGGAGTTAAAGCCACGAGGAGACGACGACGGGAAACGATGACAGATGGCACTTTGTCTGTGCCCATTGTTTACAGCCCAGAGCACAGAGTCTGAACACAGTCATGACACGGCCCGTTGGACGTGTTCTGGAAGAGTCCGGCTCAGAGTGGAGTCAGAACTGTGACAGACTGCAGTCACAGCCTGACGGTGTCAGTGTGAGCTGTGAGGTTCTGCTCCACCGTCCCTTCCCTCTCGTCGGCGCCTCTGCTGACGCCGCCGTATCAATGAAGTGCTGACGATTCCTCTCCGATCGCCGGCCTTTTTGCCGTAGACTCTGCGATCCACCGTGTTCTAAACCATGACGAGAACTCTTAAAACACGCAGCGAGGTCATAAAATCACAGGGTAACGTGAGTCGCACAGACGACTGCTGTAAAGGACACTCGGCCCAGAGACTCTGTTCTGACTGATGCTGTTTTGTTCCATATTTGGTTTCAGACACAATGAAATCAGTGATCTTTTTTGGGCTGCTGCCCTTTATGACGGAGCGCCTCGTCTGTCTGAGGCCTTTTGTCAAACCAGTAATGGAGTTATTTTTCTGGTTGTGTGATTGTGCTGACGACAGAGAACACTGAGGGAGAACAGCCTGAAAAAACACCAGAGTTCTGTTGGTAGGAGTAGGATGGAGGTTGATGTGAACACAGGGGGGTTGTCTGACGTTCACTGTACTCTTCACTGATGTGATCCGATATATGTCGATATATGTCGATATATGTCGATATATGTTGATATTGTCCAAACTATGTTTTTATTCCCAGAATTCAGTGGGAAAAATCATAACATTTCTTCTCATAAACGTCGGACTTCCTTCTTGTCGTTTTCGTCCGTGGCTGTGACACGAATGAAAACACTGTGGATGTTTTTGTTTTTGTTTCCAGCAGTAACTGCTGCCGTGCTACGACGAGACGTTTACTCTCCAGCACGTCTTCACACCTTTGGTGCAGTGTGACTGTGACGCTGCAGGTGTTCCTTCACTCTTTGTCTTTGCCTCGTTTTGCCTCAGTGCAGCAGGAAACCATTCCGTTTGTCACAGTGGGCGTCCATCACGGAGTCCACGCTCCAGGGGTAGAGACTCGCTCTGCGCAGCTCTTGGTTCCAGGTGTAGTCGACGTCTGCTGTCAGAAACCTCCGCCTGGTCGTTATTCAGTTGAAACGATGGTGGGAGTCATCAATTACTTGGTCTTTTAAATTTAGGCATGAAATCAATACACAATCCTTTACAGGGTC